CTTCTTAAATAAATTCTTGGTAAAAATTGAGAACCGAAAATGCAATTATCAAAAGACGCATCGTCTATTGAACTAAACTAAACTAGAACAACCAACATACTTAACTGTTTGCGAATAATATTCTAATCTAGGTCTACCTCTACCCCTCTTAACTCCTGTTTCTGCTTCTAATATATTTCTAACTAGCCTTTCATGTCTGGCAAGGTATCTAATACCTCCTCATTTCTAACCCTTTCTATTCACCATATCCTCATCCTTTTCTTTTCTGCATTGCCCACCGTCCACGTTTCGTACCCTTAGGAAGCTGTTCTAGGCATACACCTTTTCGAATTTCTAAATTAACCGTTCGTAAACACAGGAGTGACTTCTTTTTGTTTTATATCTCTATTGCTCCTTCCATTTCATAGTTTTTCATTCCTTGCATACCAGAATTTTTGTGTTACTTTTATTTATTTTCATACAACGCTATTTGCTAATTATTGATTTCGAAATTTAACCTCGTGAATGAGCGCTTCTTTTATAATTTCAACGTGAACAAGGAATGTGTGGCATAGTTCCTGAAATATCTGAAATATGTTTTTTATTCGACGGCATATCCACAGGTATTGTATTGCCAATGTTGTTAGCTACGTTTCTTCTCCATTATTCCCTAAAGTAATTGAGTAAGTCGAAAAGTCGCAAGCAACATTCTCTATTTTCTCTCTTCGACCCTAAGGGACAAGGATTCCTATTTGGTGAACGCGTATTCTGCTTTTGAGGAGCATGTCAATTTACCGAAGTGATTTTCAAACAAAAGAAATATTGTCACGAAACACTAAGCAATTTTTCTTTTCTCAAATTTACAAATCCAAAAATAATATACCTACCTGTCAGGTATGCATATTAAGAAAAGTTTGTCATTTCTTTAGTATTGAAAGACTTAGCTGTAATGTAAAAGAATTCTGCGGTAGTCTAATCATATTTTATCTTCATTAACATTGAATAAGGCACGAATACCTCCGAGGGTGTGTTCCAAACACGTGGCCCTTCACAAAACCCTCCCGTGTTTCTATCAAAGTCGTTAATAGAATAAATACAAATAAAAATCTAAGTTTGATTAGGAACAGTATATCAATAATAATAATAATATTGCATCTAATGGTAGTTTAAATCAATTGCATGTCTCATTAAAAGTCGAAATGTCGACTATATAAAACTTTTATATATATACACTTACATCTTGATTAAATAGAAATTTGATTTATTGAACCCAATTATCAGTTTAATTAAGTAACGTATAAAAGAATTTTTTAATTTGATACGTACGTGCGTCAATTGTTTTTTTTAAGTATTGATTAGTGTGTTAATGCCTTTAGCTTGCTGGCTTTAAAACTATTTTCTACTTATATATAGAAACCAATGTACATTAATCTTTTCTAGAAGGTTGCGAATTTGCACCGGTGGTTGGAAAACTTTTGTAATATTACAAAAGTGTTTATAATTAAATTAACAATTCCGTTGCAGCTAGTTTCAGATTGAAACGGAAAGTAAGCAAATAAAATAGTAATGTGGCAACACGTTCTGGTGTTAATGTAATTTAAGAAATTTCGTTAGATTTAAGAGGAAACGGGAAACGCAGTGCTTAGGATTTTCCGCCAATTGAAAATAACACAATTACTGCTTTCTCGAATAACATATTTAATGAATCTCGGGGTAATTTTATTCTGATTACCTACTGATAAAGATTTTTTTTGGATTTATTGTTGTGAGTAACGAATGACCATAGACGGGATATAGTTTTTAGTAAGGGGTTGCTAGGGTCACAACAAAGTGACCCTCTTGAAGAAAAAACGTTAAGAAAATCGATTGGATTATTAAACGAGGTAATAATTTGCTAATAGTTTCTATGAAATAACTGGTTAAGTTATTTAAATTTTAAAGGCTGGACTGCGATTGTTTTTTTTATTTTGATTTTGAACCAGTAAACCCTAAGGAAAAGTAACATTTACTATTGTGCTAAAATTGGCTTCCGTAACATGTATTTATTTCATTGTATTTTTGTGATGCTTAGTGAAAGTTGGCGGTGTAATTTATTGGTGAGATGTTATTTAAAGGATTTCGTGGTTGGAGCAACAGGAGTATAAACATTAATACACACGTAGATACATAGATGGTTCTTGCTATTCGAAGGTAAACAATTTACGACTCCCCTGAAATTGCTGAGTTCAAAGTTTCGACTTTGGTAGGTGCGGACTTGTCCTCTGGGAAACAAACTCAGCAGATTGAATTATAAATTGAAGCTACCTGCTGTCGCAGTCAACCCTAAATTGCTTATTAGCCACTGTTTTATCTCGTTAGAAGAACTAATTCGTTGCATTTTGACCAATTTTTCGGTATCGACTCGGGAAAAGGGAATGAACGTCCCCTTTGCAATACAATTTCCGACATTAAAAAAATCCCTTTCACAACATCCAAGCAAATTTCGTATTGCCTTCAAATGCAAAAAGGAAGTAATTCTAGCGTGAAAAATGGGCTTAAATCTGATTAAAAAAGCTACCATTTTTTATAACTAAAGCTAGGAAGGACGGAAATAAAATTAAACGATCACTAAAATTTATTATTAGGTACAAGGTGGATATTTTTAGGAGACGAAAAATTAGAAGAAGTGGCTGATTTTAGATACCTAGGAAGTCAGATAAGTGAGGATGGAAGGAGTAGTAGGGATATAAACCAGAGGATAGCGCAGGGTCGTGTCGCCTTTAATAAAAAGAAGTCACTTCTATGCTCGCGAACGGTTATATTAGAAATTTGAAAAAGGTTGTTAAAGGTGTATGTTTGGAGCACGGCGTTGTACGGGTGCGAAACATGGACAGTGGGAGCGGCGGAAAAGAAAAGGTTAGAAGCGTTCGAAATGTGGTGTTATAGGCGGATGATGAGGATATCGTGGGTAGAAAAGGTTAGAAATGAAGAGGTATTGGAAAGAATAGGAGAACAGAGGACTCTGTGGAAGTCAATAAAAAATAGGCGAGATAGGTTGGTAGGACACCTTCTCAGGCATGAAGGTCTAGTCAGAGATATATTAGAGGCAGAAACAGGAGTTAGGAGGGGTAGAGGTAGACCTAGATTAGATTACTGTTCGCAAATAGTTAAGGATGTGGGTAGGGAAATGCGAAGTTTAGCTCAGGATAGGAAAGAGTGGAGGTACGTGTCCAACCAGTCTTAGGACTGATGACCTTATGATGATGATGATGACAAGGTGGATGTTTATTGTTTTGGAATTACCACGATAGCTTCCGGAAAATTATATATAAAAAGCGTTTCCAACTGTATTTTTGATTGGAAAAAGCTTTGTGTGTGCATATTGTTGGGTATGTGTAATACATATATATATCTGTAGAGGTAATAAGTTCAATTGAACGGTATCAAAGGGCTTTCGTCTCTCTGGAGAATGGATCATAATGATCCTATAAATTGGGACGTGCCGCGACATTAAACGAGAATACTGACAAGAGATGTATGTGATATGGAAATGAATATGGAAACAGAGAATTGAGAGAGAGAGAGTGAATGAAGTATGTGATGTAAGAACTTCAAAAATTTTGTGCGGCATTTGCCGAATAGAGAGATCACTGTGAATTTTTAAGTTTGCTACAACATGGTGTAAACTCCTGAAGGACCGGGAATTGTAAGGTTTATTCAGCATCGAAGTCATCAATTTTCTGTTTATTAATAAGCCAAGGTAATATGCTCCATTACACCATTGTAACTAAGACATTCGTTTTGGTATGAAGAAAGCGGTCAGTTAAGGCGGAAGTTATTGAAAGTCAGGAAAACTCACGAACCTCAGAGATTCCAAATAGAACGGTGTTCTTGAGTAACTCAGTACGCTGCCAGGAAAAACAGCACTGATGGAAAGTTAGGGAAGCTCAGAGTTCCAAGGGAATCTCAGAATTCGAAGGGAATCTCAGAAATTCCATGAGGTCTGATGAATCCTTTAGATAATTATAATTGAGGATTATGCGATATGGAGTAAGTTGTCATTAAGAAAGTACTAACGGAATCTCAGAAAGTCGAAAGCATCAGTTTAATGAGTCAGATGGATGCAATTGAAGCAAAGATATAGTCTCATCTAACCCAGACATCCTGTGCTACATGAGGTATGCTGTCACGGAATCAGAAGCAGTATCACTAATTGAAAGTCAGAGAAATTTAGAGTGGTCAGACAATCTCAGGTATTAGTTTAATAAGTTAGATGATTGCAATTGAAGAAACGAAGTACTCTATCTATCTCAAGCGTTCAACGCGTTATGGAGTATGTTGTCGGGGAAAAATCACTAATGGAATGTCAGGGAAACTCAGAGTGGTGAAACTAACACAGAGATTCCAAGGTGGAATTTGAGCAAATCAGTTGATTGTAATTGACATATGACAGTGCTCTAATCTAATCCAGATGTTGAGTACGGTATGGATTGGGTCGTCAGGAAAAATGTCACTAATTGAAAGTCAGGTAATACTGAGGAAATGTCAGAAAGTCTAAAGGGTCAGTTCAGTGAGTCAGATGGATGCAATTGAATTAGCGCGGCATGGAGCAAGAACTAGTACAAGTATCACTAATCGACAGTCAGAGAAATTGAGATATGTCAGAAAACCTCAGGGATTAGTTGAATAAGCAACATGATCGTAATCCCAGACGTTCAGTGCGTTATGGAGTAAGTTGTTACGAAAAATAGCCGTAATGGAAAGTCAGGGTCAAGTAGGGGACACCCTGCATAAAAATAATTGGAAGGTGTCTCAGGGGTACTTGCGACTGACTACACGTGTGCAGTCCCCGATGGTGACAACTGGTAGAGTGTGCAATGATAATAAGTGGTGATTGTAGTTGGCATTGGGGGTAGTTGTAGAGTCGGACGTAGCAGTGGATGTGGTGGTGCGCGTTGTGCAAGTGTGCACAGAGTGTGCGAGCAACCACCCTCTGCACAGCATAGCAAAGTAAAGGCAGACTAACAGCACAGCCGTGGCAAAGTAGGCGATGTAAAAGAGCACGGAGAGACTAGTAGTCTGTCGCGATCTCGCGCCTCGAACTGACGCAACCCTCCGGTTCGTACGGGTGTCAGCCACGTGCTTTTTAGCCCTCTTTCAACTTGCAAGGCGTTTGGTTGACTCAAGCCCGCAGGTATAAGCTTACCGTGTCGCCTTTCCATGCTTTCGCTGTTCACGGGTTTTGTTTTCTCGAAGGATTGCAGTCTTGTCGACGGAATAGAATTCGTAAAGAAAGAATCTTACTTAACAGGAAATAGCGAAAGCAGTGGAAGTGTAGAAGGCTAATTGTAGAATTTGCATGCTTAGGACTTTTTTGTTTGCAAAACGTTCCTGCACCGTGACGTGGAGAAAAAAAAAAAGTAAAAAAAGAAAGCATTTAAGAAAACTGACGTTTTTCTTCCCCCTGAATTTAGTCAAATGGCATAAATGCCACTCTCAAGCCACAGAAATAGCAAATATTCAAATTTTGAAGAAGCACTAAGATTAAATTTTATTCAGAATCAATTTCGCATTACTTTTTATGTCCATCGTAAAATCCGGCGGAACCCTTAATTTAAAAAGGATAAGCCGAGCTGATCAAATATAATTTTTTTACGGGAAACTTTTCCCTCATTTTATTTTTTGTCGCGTTGTTTTTGCACTTAAAAGAAAAAAGAATAATACTTACAAGTACAAACCCGACATTAACTTTAGAAACGGTTTTTTTCGTGATTTCGGTAATATTAAACTTGGAATAGAAATATTAAAAATACTTTTCTCACAAAAAAAGCACCCATTCTACCCTTTTTTAAGACATACCCATCAACAATACAAAAACAACTTTTGCTTAATTTTACATGAAAATATTACCCTCTTAATAAAATTGTTTTTTTTTTATCGTCTGCCTTTTTATGTATGCAAGAAAATGTTTTTTTTTGATTGGCCACATACTTTTTTGAAGAAATGATAAATACTAGCAGAATTTATAAATAAAAAAAATTAATAAATTCTCAAATTAGGATTATATTTACAAAAAAGGGCGGTCATGTCACTTTTTCAAAAGCAATTTTACATCACTCCATTGTTTATTCATAGGCATGTTCTTATAATATTGCATTAAAAATTAAAAAGTTTGGCTGGCTCTTTTTCGGTTGTTTTCTATCAATAATTTATATAAATTGTCGATCGGAACCAATAAAAGTTTAGTGCTTATCATGTTTCAAGTTCCTGTGTTTCAATTTCTTAATGATTTTAAAGTTGCCCCCCGCAATTGTGCATGGGAGACAAAAAGCATTATTAAATTCATGCAGTTTCATGAAAACAGGACTTGCTTTAGATATCCTTTTGATAGCTGAAATAAATAACTTGATTTTGATGATACAAATCTTATTTTTTCTCAACTGTGAAAAAAAAAACAGTGAATTGTTTGTACTAGTGTAATTAATGATTTATATTGCTTGAATTTTACGAATCTTATCGCATCGTCACGTCTAATAAATGCCCTTTTTGTATTCGAGATACGCAGAATGCTTAACTTAAATAGGTGAACTATTCGCGATATCTAGAAAGGAATTTCCAGTATTTGAGAGCAAAAACAATAATACACTCTAACAAAATATTTATTCATTAAATTAATTTATAATCCAGATTTAATTATAATAATAAATAACAATTAGGTTAACGAAATAAGTGTCGGGCGCCTCCACCATAGTTATTTTTCGGCGTACACCTGCTACATAACACAATTTGGGATATGTAATACATTTGAGGAAAAATAAAGACTTCAGACATTAAGTAGGCGGTGTTCGTTTTACTTATATACAGAAAAATGTAAAATACTATACTAAGAAATGAAGCCATTTACTGTGTGTATGTACCATACATATAAATATATTTGCATATATGAATGTACATATATATGGACAAATACGTATGTAGATAGTACCTACAGAAATTTAACAATTTGTATAAAATTTTCAAATGATCAGATCATACAGAATTGAGAAAATCTAAGGACTGTAATAGTTCTTGCGCCTGTTTATGGAATAGTTTCCCCAAGGATATTTGGTCTAGCACCAACCAATTCTGATGGACGTTTCGTTGTCAACTATTTTTGTACTCTTTACATTTTCTTGGATTTAGATAAATTGATTATGACTTTCGTGCTCATGTCTGAGGATTTTTCTTCTCGACGTTTCGCCGAAACGAGTGGTTGATACCTTCACCAATAAACCCAAAAGCCAGTAGTACACTTTTGAAGTTTACCCAGCGGCATAACCTAGAGGTTTAGACCATTGCCTAACATTCAGGAGGACGCCTGTTCGATTCTGGGTCCGTCTGCCTTGGTCCAAGTTTTTCTGTGGTTGCCTTGGGTCACTTAGGCAAATGCTGAGGCAGTAATATTCCACAGATAATCTTTCATTCTCTTCTGTCTTCATTTCGTCCGTCTCATCTTTCTCGCCCGAACCACCTCTAAGGAGACTGAAGAGGGCCTTCCGCCCTACCTTCCGGCATAGTCTTTTGTTGTTTCTTGAAGTTTGCTAGTTTTTCTGTATTATATTGTGAAGGACTACTGTTGTTTAGATTCATAAATTTCTTCACTTATTGTTAAGTGCATCCGAGTAACGAGTGTGTGCCATGATGGCCAGCGTCAATAGTTTAATACATCTATGTATGTAGTCGCATAATAAAGTGGTGTTTGTACAAAATTAAAGCAGGCAATGCCTAAGAAATTCGATAGAGAAACATACGTATTCGAGAAGGTAGGCAGCAACTTTTGTGCATGAAAACCGCACAATCCTCTGGGAAATGAAATTTGGATTCCGAGCGGGACGCAAATAAAAAATGCTACCGTTGCTGTTTCCACTGTTATCAGGGACGCGTTATATATGAAATTCTGCGAGAAAGAACCTCTTTGAGTCGATGATAAATGATAGTTGGCCATCGGCCGATTTTTGCCTCGATCTATATATTTAAAAGGAAACTGCTGCTTGCCGTTGCGCACCAGCTTTTCTAATAGTTTTCATCCTATTTTATCCGGAAGGACATTGTCCTTTCCGTAATTTAGTTTAACGTCATAGTAAAGAAAATCGAATTATATTTTATGAAAAAGATGTAAGTAAATGAGTAGCTTTAGTAACCTGTGGCATGATGGCGAATAAGGGAGGGTTCAGGAGAGAGTGGAATGGGGTAGAAAAGGCATTTAGCGAAATAAAAAATTCTATAAATAAGGGAACCAGTGAACATTCTCCCACCTTAACCTTGTGTGGAATAACTTTAAAAACGGAGTCTTTGGTTTTTGCCTATCATCCTTCAGGGGGAAGTTTTTCGTCTCCCCCCTATCTACCGTACCCGGCGGTATGCTTAAGGTTACTACAGCCAACCCAAAATAAATAACACGTTTTTATAATGGAAAATACAAATAGTCCTGGACTCAGGATTCCCTTTGATCGCGATCGCGAACATCGAAAATAACATAATTTTAAGGCTCCCTCCCCAAAGATTACGAGCAACTTCCATTGGTAAAGATTTCCGCGGCTAGTAAGTGAACTGATGATCGAGATGATACAAAGACTATATTTGTAATATCCAGCAAAATTTGAAAATAAATTGTTAAGTAGAATGTGTTGTTAAATAAATTCATTCAACACTGATTATATCAAAATCCAAATAGACGAAAATTTAATTCCGCATAGAAATTGTGACCCCATCAGTTGATTTTACATAATTTTCACAATTTCCTTGAAAAATACCAGCTCAGTTTTTTTACCATAGACACTGTACGTACCTAACGTGTTAACTATTTTTTCTGATTACGTTGATTTACAAATGTTACTAATGAAATGAGTTAACAATTATAATTTTGATAAATATACTGCATATAGAAAACAGGTAGAGATATTTATGATCCTGTAAAATCCATTTTCTCTATCTCTGGCCGACAAAAAGCTTTCGGATGGCGAAATTTATTTGCTTATGCGGTTGTGCATGCGACAGTTGTATTTTATATTTCCAACAAAATTTTATTGTATTATGTTTGTGAAAGGTATGATCGATAACTAAGATAATGGTTCCAATATATCCATGAAGGTAAAAAAAAACCGAAGCCTACACGCAAAAAAAAAATAACAAACACAATTTTGCTGTTTGATTCTGCTAAACAATTTTATCCAAAAGTTCTAAGTGGCATCACAGAAAAAAAAGCGTATCGACTTATTTAAGCTCTTATGATGATTAAGTACGTGGAAGGCATGAAAAGTAAGAACGATAAAAAAAAAGAGACCAAATGTTCGGGATACCTGATGGTATGTAATTTTCCCAGATCAGAAGGTATTTTTGACGAAGACAAAACAAATAACTAGGGAAGACGTATCTTGGCGGGGGTATAAGATGTACGGCAAGGTGGAAGAGGGAAAGGCGAAAAATACGGAGATAAATGGTCCATGACATTGCAAGATTGATGGAAGGCCGCCATACAGCGGTCGGAACGCTGCCAGCACACTCTAACGGAGTTGACTATACCAGTCGAGTTGAAGCGAATCGAGTCGACTCAAAGAATCATTCACATTTAACTTACAGTAAGTCACAGAAATTGTGACAGACCTAAACGAAATAAATTACATATTTAACATGTGCCGCTGCCTTAATTTGTTTATTCAAAGAAAAATATTGTACCTTTCTTTTATCACGAACACAAAATTTCACCACTCGCAAACGTTATTGCTTACTGGAGAGGCTTTCGTAAATATATATAGAAAAAAAAACTTTTGGGTGTTTCATTCCCACCAGCCAGTAATGCTGGTGGGCGGGCAGTCGCTCCGGACTATGCCGGAAGGTAGGGCGGAAGGCCCTCTTCAGCCTGCTTTCAGGAATCGTGAGAATAGGTGGGTGGTTGTTCGGGTGAGAACCGGCGTCCTTCCGAATGCTAAGCAATGGTCTAAACCTGCTATGCCGCTCGGTAGATATGTAGATGAAATACGAATCTATATGAAGTAATTTTACTTTGGTAACCTAGCCTAACCGTCTACATATAAGAAGGGTAGTCAATACCGGCGTTAAGAGGGGGGGGGGCTAGTCGGATAGCCCTCCGCGCGTCTTGTTCTGAGAGGCGCTAAAAGCGATATGATCACTAAAATGTGGAAATAATTGTTTTGT